CCCCTGGGGAGAGGTCTCTGAGAAAGGGGAGCAAGGAGTTCAATCAGTCGGCTCTTGGAGGTGAAGCCTGAGCAGAAGGCAGGAGAGGTCTGGCAGGTGCCATTGACCCAGATGGCCAGGCAGCCTCTCAGACACCTCAGGGCTCTTAGGCCTGGCCCCAAACCCAATGAAAGACCCGCCCCAGCAGGATGGGTGAGCCCCACCGACATGCCCACTGGCAACTCAGGGTTCCCGGGGCTGCCACCTCTGAGCAGATCACATTTTCTTGGGCACAAATCTCTGTCAAAAAGTGCTGGTTCTTTCTACGTTGGTGCATTTCTAATTCTGAATCTGATGGGGCTGTTCTCACTCTCCCAGAACTCCAAATCAACCTGACATTTCTAAAGTTACATTTTGAAGGCAATGAATCTATAATGTGCACCAAGGCCCCTGCCAGCTGGGGAAAAAACAGTAAGAAAGGGGGAAGTAGAAAGAGTTCTGGCTCCCTCTCTTCCATTGGAATATTCTCTATGTATCACAGGGCAGGGGGAGAGGCGTTGGGCCGGGGGGGAGGGGTGTGCAGACCACCTGAAGTGACAGCCAAGTTCTCAGGGAGCAGGTGCTGTCCGAGTCTCCCTGAGGGGCCAGTGCAATGGCGGGTCAGGCGGGCCTCAGGACGTGGAGTGAAAATGAAGAAGTGAGACTGGGCGTGAGGAGGGTGGGGCTCCTTTTCTTCATGCCAGAGTTGGGGTGTTCTCTGAGGCTGGCCCCCCGAAGAAGGCCCCTGGCCTGGCCGGCACACAGCCTGCTTAAAAGAGAATCCGGCAGCAGCTGCTTCTCCTTAAACTGAGAGGTGGCCGAGGGGCTTTGTGTGCGCCCGGATCAAAACACGCCCATCAAGAGGGATCAAGAGCCTGGCCAAGTGGATTGCAGATGGGAAAGGGGGTTGAATCTTTTTCTTTTTCTTTTTTTCTTAACAAAAAATGTAAAGAAAATTCAGGGAGAAAATGCCCCATGTGCAATTCTTTCCTTTCACTGGTTGCAAAGCCTGTCCAACGACCACCATTCTCCTCTCCCCGTCACTCACAGATCAATGTTAACATGCAGCCTGTTAGTGTTTAAAGTGATCCATTCAACATGGGAGAACCCCACAGCCCCTTGCCCCCCCGCCCCCTCCCACCGAGCTCCCTGGGCCTGCAGCCTGGAGTCAGCCCCTCCTGACCCATCTCCTCTCTGAGGCTGCAAACAATTGTGACCCAGGATGGAACTTAATGCACATTCCATAGGGGGCAGCGCCCTTGAGCAATCATTAATCCGGGGCTACAAGGTGACTCTAGGGTGCTGGGGACTGGGAGACAGAGGAGGGGCAGACAGGGGCCCTGTTCTCGGGGAGGGGGGGGTTGCAG